GGTGCGTCATGTTCAACATATTGGTCCTTAGTAATAATAATAATAATCTGTGAGTTAAACTGTAGCTTTTCCTTTTTTGTTTTTAAAGCTGTTATCATGCAGACAGATTTCTTCTTCTGTTGTCAGATAAATTTCAGTGCCTCGTAGTGCCTCATAGTTTCACTTCTTTGTGAGTAATCTGACATTTGAATTAGTTCCTATACCTGCAAACTGAAACTCTGAGAGATTTGTTGTTGTAGTTGATTCATTTAGTGAATACAATACATCATTGAAAGTAAGCACAGAAATATCACACATTTCTGAGAAGCAGTCCGTCTTCAAAAGAAACCTCTGGAAATGCAGCTTTGAAGCTGTGACTCGTGGTGACCAGGAGAGCTCCTCCACAAAACCTTCTGCTTTCTTTCTTTCTTACTGAGTTGCTGACATGAAAGCTCTTTTATCCCCTGGAGCGCTGTGTTCGGGGCCTGCAGGCTTTGTCCAAAGTTTAATCAAGTGAAATAGCTCCAAATAGAACAATCCAGAATGGCTGTTCCCTGAATGGAGGCATTCATTTCTCCTGAGACAAAGGCTGAAGCGCCGCAGCAAGAGTCCTTCTTTGTCGCGCGCCGCAGTCAGTGAATCTGCAGCTGCTCACCGCGCACGTCAAAACTGATACAAGCCTTACCTCCAGGGCGAATCCAGGTTTAAGGCACCATGATGGACGCTGGCAGGTAGCCACAAGAAAGACGGAGCAGCCATGACAGACTGGAATGGGAGCTGATGCATGTTCAGATAATTCCCCTGTCTGCTGCAGACATAAAGGAAGTAGAAACACACAGATGCACAGACGGCTGCTGGGGCTGAGGGCTTGGCAGAGCGCAGCAGACAGATTAGTGGAATAGTCTCAGCCAAGGCCGTCATCTGCCCACTGTAGGGCTGGAAAGACTGGCAGCAAGATGCGGCTCACACACAGAGAAATTAGGCCCGATGAATGAGTCTGTTTGGATGGGTTAGCTCAGGGCTCACTCTACTAAACAGGAAGGAGGCCGAAATAAAAGACATACTATAAAAAGGGAAATTATGTGTGTGGGTTCAGAGAAGCACAGCTCAGATCAAATCTCTGCATTCTGATTGGTCCGGTTGGATGGTTCAGCCGCTCAGACCTCTGCATAGATGGAAAACAGTCTGACTTTAACCTCTTTCCCACTGAAAATAGCAGGTTAACTCCTGTTTTTTAATCATGGGTTGACCCACTAACAATCAGCATTTGGCTCCTTCCAATAAAAGCTGGATCTAACCCCTCACTGGCACCTGCATGTTTGGTGACATTATCACGCTGGGTTAGTGTTGATGATGTCACCAATGCGACAGAAATCAGGGACGTAAACAATGGAGAGCCAAATGGAAGGAAGCTAGGGCGTAGTCAGTGTGCTTTATTGTTTCGCTCTGTTATCTATCTGAATCCCTCTAACCAGAGCTGCTCCAAGTTTATCCAATGTAAACAGAGTTGATTCTGCTTGTTAGATCAGAGGCGACTGGCGCAGTGTGTTGACATCCGTTGCGTTGCGTTCAATTGTATCACGTAATTTAGCGGGTTGAACCGGCTCTGGTGTTCCCACAGCATGCCGATCAGAGCCGAGATTTTAAGGCGGGTGACTTGCACTCGTTTGACCCTTTTCTTCCATTATTGTTTCAAGCAAAGAACCATTTTTTTTTATAGTTTAACAAAGTAAATTCTATCCCGGTTGTTTCACTTCCAGCCCAATCCAATCCTTTCGCTCCAGACCAATAATAACGTCCAGCAGACCAATAGAAAGCAGACCAGACAAAAGCCCCACCCCCAGAAGAAGAGAATAAGATCTGGAAAAATCTATTTTACAAAATTAAGTTCTAAAATTAACTCTAAATGAAAACTAATTCTTTGAAATATTAAAAAAAAATAAATCAAAAGACAAATTTAAATTAGAAAAAAAACTGAAAAAAAATCTACAAAAAAATTAAATATAAGAAATTTCTCAATGTTTTATTTCTTGTTTGCATTTTTTGGTAATTTCTATTAACGAAACCTGTTTTCGGATTCATTCCGTATTTTTATCCTATTTTTATCTGTACAGAAGAACAGAACTTTGCCGCGTTTTAGTTAATTTATCTTTGTTCGGATTCCTTCTATTTTTAGTTAATTTTTTTTCATCTGGGTAGATCCAACATTGCAATATGAACATTTTTCATTTTCCTATGAAACCATCATTTTAATGTAACAATTTAGGCTCCAATAGATCCAACAGATGCAGGTTGTTACAGAATTCATCCATAATTTTATTACATTTTGGGGCAACTTTCAGTTCGGCTGCAGAATTTATTATGTTTGTGATCACAATACAACCTGATGCTTTGACCTTTGCTTCACTTTGTTTTCCCCGAGTTTTTCCAAAGCCAATTGAAGTCCAGAAGAAATAATAATAATTGATGCGTCCATCAGCAGGATATTCATTAGTCCTGTTGTTTGGAGATGTTTTTCTGTGTTTCTGAGGGTTTCAGGGTTTTAATGAGTCAGTAAACACCGAGTGTGTCAGCCTTACAGAGGGCAGAATGGCAAAGAGAAAAATGCCTCCCATTACTTAATGCTGACTAATGTGACAGAACCAAAGTCGTTATTAGACCCAAACGAAGCCCGGAAGCGCAGCAATATTAGGGAGATTAATCTCCGCCTGTTCGGACACGTTGTTTTCAAACGTGGCCACTTTCCCTTAAGCCTGCAGGATTTAGTGACATCGGTTCCTGCCGTTAACCTGCAGCCGCCGTCGTCACTCTTACCGTTAATCCATGTGCTCTGCTTAACTTCCTTGTTGCGGTGATTAAAACATCGAGTGAGGAAGATGGAGGAGACGTGGTGGCCATTTAACATTTAGACGGTCCTATTAGCATTCACGGACACACACTGCCGTCAGCTGACCTACTGCTGCATTTATCCCACAGCTCTTAGTGCTGACCGTTAAACCTGAACCAGTGTCCTGACCTCCAAGTCTGAGCCAGATGCTCTGACCTGACTGTGGCCTCTGAGGGCCAAACGCTGAGGCCGGGGGCCCCATTTGGATCAGGGAGGGACTTGATTAACCATCTAATGAGGAAGATCCAGAGCATTTATATGCAGAAAAGGATGAAGCTATGGAGTGAAGTTTGTTCCATAAAAATCTCAGCAAAAAAAAAAAAATATTCAGAAATAAAATTTTGAAAAACTTTGGAATGAAAAAAGGTTTTGAGATCAATTAATTATTTCTTTTTTTGTAGGAGCCAATTATGACTTAGACTTAAACAAACTTGTTGTCCGTTTGTACACACAGAGTGTATAAAAAACAAAACTTTCTTTCTTTACATACAGCTTTCGACATTTTGTGGAATTGTCGAGAACTGTATTAAGTCGCTCCTTGTAGCTGCATACATGTGGTGGATCTGTTTAGTTTCTTGTGATTGGCTTATACAAGGGAGCTTTGCGATTGGTGGCAAACCATTGCCTGCTTAAAAAAATGCATTTTTGTATTGAGGTGCGTCAGGAAAGTCTAAAAGATCCACACACAAATGCAGTGAAGTTTAAAGACCACTTGTTCTTTGTAATTTACTTTATAATTGTTTATGCACCAGGGAATCATGTGCCATGCATGTGTGGATCTTGTCCTGTATGAATCACATTGAGACCAATTTGGCTCCATATATTCATTTTTACTTTATTGTTGATTTGTTTTGAGATATTTTTTTAGTAATTTAGTTTTTCGTTTCTGGGTAGTTATTTAGGTGAATTTGGTTTAGGCTGTCAATGCAGGACCAGCATGCATCTGGGTGGCCGTATGGTTTCTTCCCAGTGAAGCATGGAGGAAAAGTTTGTTTGCTAAAAGAGAAATAAAGCACAAAACTAAATTACTTTACCTGGAAAGACTGATCGCATTTTTTCAGTTCTAAAGTATGAACTCAATTTTATTCCGTTCCTGTTTTTTTTTTATTGAAAAAAAGGAAATCCAGAAATTAACCTTTGAAAAAAATTGTATTTTAAAAAGCAGAAGTAAAGAGAGATTACCTTTCCTCCCTCCGTTGCTTAAATTTTCTGTTTTTATTCTATTTCAAATGTCATTTTATTAACATATTATTTCTAAATTTTTTTGTTTTTAAGTCTGTTTTTACTCCTCTCTCCAGAGAAAAAGCCAGAAACACTGATTTTTATTTTTATTCAAGCATTACTTTTGAAAAGTTTATTTTTTTGTGATTAAAAAATGTTTCTATGACAAATAATGATTATATTTAGTTGTATGTTTTACAATTTTCATACTAATTATTTATTTAATATGTTTCAAATATTATTTATATTATATATTAATATCATTATCTTCAATTCTATTCAGTTTATTTCTATAGCTCCAATTCACATCATGTCATCTCAGGTCACTTTCCAGTTCACCAGATCATCCAGTCAGATTGATTCAAAGTTTTCTATCTAAGAAAAACCAGCTGATTGCATCGACTCATTGACTCTTCAGCAATCCCTCACACTAAGCATGCTTGTAGCGACAGTGGAGAGGAAAAACTCCCTTTGAACAGGAAGAAACCTCCAGCAGAACCAGGCTATTATAACTACGTTTATAATAGCTAACTTTACTATTATACTACTAACTATTTATATATGTTATAAATAGTTAAACAATGAATATTTTATAATATATACTAGAAATTATATAATTATTTTATCTACTTGTTTCACATTTACATTCACATCTTGTATTCTACATTTTTTGTCCTCTATATACACATCTATAAATATACGGATGTTGTGAAAACTGTCCTGACTCTATAACCTCAACATAGATGCTACAGTTTTCTCATTTTCAATCTTTATAAATCACACAAGCACAAATAATGATGTTTATCCTTTTTTACTAAAAAGTTTTTATTTTCTAATAAATCAGATCTCAGTAATAAAAAGAATGAACTTCTGGACGAGCTGAAATGAAGCCAGTTGTCCTTTTCTCCCTCAGGATGATTCCTCCATCAAGCAAGAACTTCCTGGTCAACAACCTGGCAGCGGGGACGCCGTACGACCTCTGCGTCTTGGCGATCTATGATGACGTCATCACCTCCCTGACGGCCACGCGAGTGGTGGGCTGTGTGCAGTTCACCACCGAGTCGGAGTACATGAAGTGTTACTTTATGCAGTCCCAGTTCCTGGGCGGGACGATGATCATCATCATCGGAGGGATAATAGTGGCCTCGGTGCTCGTCTTCATCATAATCCTGATGATTCGCTACAAGGTGGGTCTCTGTCGCCATGCATGATCTTACCACTGCTGCCATGGTTACCAGCGACTGGCTGGTTTGCAATAAACTCCCATCAAGTTGGCACATGATGGATCGATTCAGAATGGAGAGCTTGGAAATAATAATTGGATTCATTTGAGAGGAAAATGTTGATCTGTCACATCAGAGTTTTAATAAACCGTCTGTGATTATTCTAATGAATCTATAAAGTACAAAATGAATCAATGGATCATTAACTGATCTGTTCTCAACTATTTAAACATTCAGTTGTTCAGAAACCATCAAGCTGCAACTCCTCTTCGTCATCTTCCTCCCATGGGTCCAAACTGGATCTCTATCCAGGGAAGGAGAGGAGCTCCAGACTGCTGAGCTGAATCCAGACGGCCTTCAGCCTCACAGACGCCATTATGGGATGATAACCTGATAGCTGGTCAAACTGGGAAACAGCTTCTGGAAAAAAACAACAGAAAACTAAAGTTACACAAATTTAGATGAAGGTGTGAAGTTTATGCATCAGAGAGAAGTAATGATGGATTTATGTTAACCCTGAAGGAGGGCGGGGCCGGTACGCACTCACACCTAAAGGATTGTGGGAAACCGTAACGCTACATTCAGACCACAAGCAGCAGTTTACATGTAAAGTCAATGGTTGACGCACATCAAGGCGCAGCAAAAGGTCCTGCAGCGAGTTATGAGCAGCAGGAGCATCTCCTCATGAGTCTTCTGATCATCTGAGGCGCGTGAGGCGCTGCACAAGCAGCAGCTGCCGGAGTTGGAAAAATTTTATTTTAGCTGCTCGACGCAGGGAGAGAGACACAGCACTGCTGATGCAGACAATTCGATTCCTTATCGATTCTCTTATTGATTCTATCAATGAACTTGGTAAGCGCACGGTGACATTGGTCTACCTTCTCCTGGGTCATTCTATCTCTGCCTGCCTCGGTGAAAACAGAAGGCAGTGAACGGGAGCTGCAGCCTCTGATCCAGCCAGGCTGCCCGTCTCCTCACAGTCATCTACATCTAATGGAGAAGGCATCCGTTTAATGAAAAAGCATTACTGTAAAATTTCATGAAATAAACTCATCTCCCCCTGATTTAAATAAATGAGCGTCACCCTTCCCTCGCTCCCTGAACTGCAGAGCAACTTCGTAGCATGTTTGATAACCTACAGAGAGAAAGGAAACTGGTTTATTTCTACTACTAACCACTAGAGTTGCCTTCCATGATGGTCGTAACTTTAGCTTCTGTCCGGAAAAATCAAAAACATGGCATTTGTAAAAATGTATGCCATGGCGTGAAGGCAGGTGTTTCTGCACGTTGGATGTATTTCCTCCCGCAGATGTTATTGCCACTTTACATCCAAACTTTAGATCGGTTTACCTGATGGGACGCCATTTTTTTTTTTGTTGCTTTTCTAGACTTACGCCTGGTCACGCTGTACCTTCTTACTGAATGCTGTGCGCATAACTTGCGTAAAAAACATGACGTAAGTCGTGCTGCCCAGCGCTAAGCTCTGGTGCTGCCTGGAACCGTTAAGAGAATCGTTCAGCGAGCTGCCAAACGGTGCCATGGAATTGGAACAAACAGAACCGGTTCTGAACAGGAACCGCTTTTCGATTCCCATCCCTATGCAGAGTACTTCAAATGTAGAAACCTGCCGGCAGAATATGTTGGCTTTTATTATCCTGCTGCCTGCAGTTTGTAGCACAGACCTGAAAAACGCTAACATCTACTTCCAGCCGCCACCAACAGGAGGGGAAAACCCTGGAGAGGCGAGCGGGCCTGAGGCAGCTGCTGCTGGGGATTCCCAGTGACAGCGCAGCGCCGGTATGTGGGGGTCTGAGCGGCTCCCACAGAGAAATAATCTTTGAAGGCAGGATGGTAATCTGGATGAACTGACTGCACAGACCATGTTTTCAGGAGGACTTTCTCACTTCAACATAGATTCTAACTACTTTCTACCCGCTGATCACAGCTAAGATAGCAAAGCTGCTCTCTGGCATCGAACACAGGAGCAGCAGGAGCATCTGGACTCACTTTAATGGACGCGCTTTAATGCAGCTCAAATTGCATTCAGTGTGAACAGACCAGCTCACCAGCACCCCCTGGTGTTGTTTCGATTACAGATTCATTCTGATGTTGAACCTTGAAGATAAAAAATCTCAATCTTTTTAATTATGGGAGCAAAGATCCAACATTTGTCTTTTCCTGTTTCCTCAGGTTTGTAACCCAGGTGAGGGAGGTAAAGGTGTTTCTTTGTCGATGACCAACGTCCACTCGCAGACCAACGGGCAGCAGGCGCAGGGATGCGTTGTGACTCCCAGCTCCTCCAAACACGGATCCGTAGGGCTGGACGAGCTCTCCGCGGACTCCAAGAAGAGGAGCGGAGCGTCGGGAGGAGGAGGCAGGGAGAAGGATACCGTCACCCAGTCGTCAGAGTGCTCCCTTCCCTACTGCTCTACGGCCACGTCCGCCCTCAGCCAGAGCTGGGGGGCCCACAGCCCGGCGTCCGGGGCTGAAGACCAGGACAAAGCCGGTGAACAAAGAGCTCCAGCTGGCATCGGGTCACCGACCAACGCCAGCGGCTCCCTGAACAAGTCAAAGCGGAAGCCGGCTCCCAGTAAGCCGGGGTCCTCCGTCTCCAACGCACCGGCCTCCTCTCCCCTCCCCACTTCTTCCACCCCCAGCTCTGCCCTGCTCCCCCCTTCCACCCCATTGGAGAACCTCAACACCAACCGCAATAACTCCACCAGTCTGAACAGAAGCCCAGCCCCCCCCTTTGTTCCCTCCCCCTTCTCCCCCCTCCATCCCGCCTCCAGCCCGGTTCCTTCCATACGATTTAGAGAAACTCCGGTTCTGCGGCGGGCTCCTCGCTCCGGCTCCTCCCTGGCAAAGTACCAGACTCTTCCCACAGAGGAGGGAGGCTGGAACAGGCCTAGGAGGAGGAGGTACTCGTTCAGCGAGGAAGCCTCAAAGACTCACTCGCCCCATCAGAGAGTGGGAGGGGTGACCAAGTTGGGGCGCATGGCGCGGAACAAACGGAGCCAGTCCATGAGCGGGATGCTGCTCTCCAAAGACGAGGACGGAGACTCGGAGAGAGGACGCTGTGAGTCGGACTGGATCTTAGAAAGCACCGTCTAAACATGGCAGCACAGAAACTTGGTTTACTCATCACCCTTTTAAATGTGAGTGTTTTAAGTGTTTGCGGTGCGTTTGGATTTATTTTTACGACCGAAGGCCGAGCCTGTCGGGAGGTTCGTTTTCCATTTTCAGGCACGCCTGAGGGGATTCTTTACGTTTTCTGGATGAAAGTTTGTGCTTTAATGTATATGTTTTTTTTGGGTTATTATTATCAATTTTCTCCACATGTCTTTTTTGTTTTTTGTACTCGTTTTACAGGTTTGTCCTCATTTGGTAAACAGATAACATGCCTTGTCTCGTAGCGTTGGCGTTGTCTTACAGGATCCACTTTATAGCACAAACGGAGAAAAAAACAAAAAATGAGTAAAAATAAGACAATGAGCCTGCCTCATCCTTTCTGAATTCACATTCACCTTATCTGAAAATACCACAAAGGGGATCATCATCATCGGGGGATGGAGAGGAGGAAGATCCGCAGAGCAGGAGGAAAAGCACAGCGTTTTTAAAGTCACGCACTCGCATACGACATCCACCGACTCTGTGGCAGAAAGGACAGCAGTGGTGCCTTCTTTTGCACTAACAGAACCTCCCTAACAGAACCTCTAACTCCACAGGCGAAGGATTGGTCTAAAGGAAGAGACGGATTTCACACATAGCCTTTCTTACCTAACGGAGGGTGCAGACGTTTTCTTGACATATAGAGACAAGAATCAACAAACAGAAGAAAAATTTTAAAGGACCTCTAATCAAATTGTTATTTTTAAAGGAGAAAAGAAAAGGTGATTCTCTTGTGAGCTTTTCACTGACATTGGTATACTTTAGCCCGTGTTCATCACAAGCTCCCAGAAAGCTTCTGTACAGTAAAAAAAAACAACATGTACTGTGTTGTTATGTTGTGTAAAATAAAAACTGTTAAAATAAAAAAAATTCGTTTTTATCTTTATCCTGGTTCATAAAATTGTTTTTATTATAAGAAGGTGTCGCCTGTATCCAACAGAACCGGATGGTCCACTTCTGAATTCAGCTGATCAGTTTATAATCCTAATCCCTAGAAAATGAATTATCTTTTATTTTCACAATTATGAAGTTTAAAGTTAGTTTCACAGCAGAAACTATGAGGCTAAGTGACTGAAACTTTTCCTAGCTGTCCTATAACCAGTAGCGGCGGGTGGAGTTTTCTCCTGGAGGCGCTATAACTTCAAAATAGAGAAAAACCAATCAAATGTATACTTGGGTATCACACCTGTGTATTTATATGAATGCCAACAACAAAAACATTTACAAAAGAGAGTAAAGATATTATTTTGTTTTTTCTTTTTTTATTTTATGTTAATTTTTTTTATAATTTTTTGTGATTATCAAGACTTTTTTGTCAAAAGGTAGTGAATGATAAATTAATGTGTCTAACTAAAGGCATTTTGTCCTAAGTTTGTGCAAACTTCTTTCAAAACTTTTTCAAAATATGTTTTTTTTTATCATTATTTATGCACATATAAATATTTGTTCTGTAATTAGTGTCAGGATTTGGTGTTGGTTTGAGGACCCAAATGCAGAGGCAAGTAGGCAGAGGTGAATTTAGGTGGGTTTAATGAGGTTCACAGGAACTGAGGCAGGAATCAACGAACCAGAACCAAGGAGACATCAGGGGAAAACCAAACTCTAGGAGCCAGGGAGAGACGATGGCTCTGTTCGAAAACCTAGGACGCATCCTTAGAAGACCGGATTCGAAGGCCGATTACGTCATAGCGCGGCGCCGAGGTCTGGTCGGATTCCAAGAGTCCTCGTTATGCGGCCTTAAAATGCGTCCTTCTTTTTGCCCGATTTGAAGGACGGGTCTGATGTATCCTCGGTAATCATGGATATCCCAGGATTCATTGCGAGACCAAGGAAGCTGTGATCAGAGGAAAGGTTAGGCCTACTTGGCGCCGAACAGTGGTGAAAATTGGAAATTCAGTTTAATATAATACAAGTCATTTAATAGTTCCGTCTGAGATTAATGAAAATAGTTGTTTTAATGGTTATTGACTTAGACTTAGACTTCTTTATTTGTCATTTTGTATGCACAGAGTGCATACAGAACGAAATTGTGTTACATACAGCTTATGAACGTTGCATTGATATTTCAAATGGCACAAGTTATACAAAAATACAGAAAGTGCAGCAGTGAAAGTGTGAACAGTGCAGAGGATAAGAGACAGTGTGCAAGTTTCAGTGGTTCAGTGCAAATAGGCATTTGTGCAAAAAATGCACAATGTTATTGTGCATTTTTGTTATTGTTACAAATGTTATTGAAAATAGAAATGAGATGAACAAGGGCTAAAAGTTAAACGTTCAGCAGCATTTGATGCCCGATAATGTGCAATAGGTGCAGAGTTCGGTTTGTGGATCAAAGGTTCAACAGTCTGATGGCGGTGGGGAAGAAGCTGTTGCACAACCTGGTGGATCTGCAGCGGATGCTGCGGAACCTCTTTCCAGAGGGCAGCAGGGAGAACAGTCCATGGTGGGGGTGTGAGGGGTCTTAGATGATGTCACGGGCTCGGGACACACAGCGCTGTGATGAAATGTCCTTAATGGAGGGAAGAGGTGCCCCAATGATTCCTTCTGCTGTCCTCACCACCCTCCTCACATTCTTCCAGTCAGAGGCTCTGCAGCCTCCACACCACAGAGAGAGACAGCTGGTCAGAATGCTCTCTATGGTGCTTCTGTAGAAGGTTGTGAGGATGGGCGGGGGCAGGCGGGCCGTCCTCATCCTCCGCAGAAAGTACAAGCGCTATGTTGTATGTCATCAGGGTGAACAGCAGGGGGCTCAGGACGCAGCCCTGAGGGGAGCCCGTGCTGAGGGTGATGACGTCAGAGGTGTTCTGACCGACCCGGACCGATTGAGGTCTGTTGGTGAGGAAGTCCAGCAGCCAGTTTCGAAGGGGTGTGTTGAAGCCCAGATGTTCCAGCTTTTCCACCAGGTGCTGTGGGATGATGGTGTTGAACGCTGAACTGAAGTCCAGGAACAGCATCCGCACGTGGGTGTTGAGTCAGATATGTGGCGGTAATGTTTGGTCTATCTAAAGGTTTTAATCTGTTACTGTGTAAATGGGTTTGGCTGGAATTTAAGGACAGATTCTAATACATCTGCAGAGTGGGGACTATAAATCTGATAGGATTTTTATCTTTTTATTGCTGTTTTGCACAATATGCTTAACTACGTATTTTTTGTTGTTGAATATTAGAGATTTAGCAGATATATTTTTTATAAATATATTGTTTAGATTTACTTATATCTTTCTACCCCTTTTATAGAATAGAATAGAAAATCCCTTTATTGTCCCACAATGGGGAAATTTACAGTAACAGAAGGATTATTGAAAATAGCCACACAAATGTGGACCTTAGAAAAATGTATAAGAATAACATAATAGGGAAGAGTTAAAATATAAACAATATAATTCTGTAAAGTGTTTTAAGAATATAAAACTGGGGAATAAATAACCAATATGCAGCTATGGACATTTTTACAGTAATGGATATTTGAAAATAGCAGCAACATCAGAGATGTGCAGAATGACAGCAGCAGGTTTTTTAACTGACTAAGGTTTCTATCATTACATTTGATTTGATTGGTTCCTGCTCCCAGTGGTTGGAACCTTTATTCCATTCTGGATTCTTGTGAGTCTTTGTTCTCTTCACAATAAAAAAGAAATAAACAGTTTTGAAAACTTCTGTATTCATTCTTTTCCTGCTTTGTGTGTCAACGTTTACGGTTGCTAAGCAACAGAGCATACAGCGGTAAAACCCGCCGAAGGGTAGACGTGGTCGAATTCACAGCCTAAACTCTTCCGGTCTCCTTATTTTCAAGGACTTCGAAGGATCCAGTCTAGGTAGACCGCGTCCTTGGAGGACAATTCCTAGGTTTTCGAACAGAGCCGATGTAAGCAGACAGACGTTAGACGAGGATCCAGCAAACAGGAACTGAAGAGGGAGGGCTTTTAAAGGCGACAGAGACAAAGAGAGGGCTAACGAGGGGATTGAAAACAGGTGAGGACAGAGCAGAAAACAGAGCTAGGGAAAGAGGACACAAGAGGGCAGCAGAGGACAACAAATGGAAAACCAAGACTGTGACAATTAGTCAATGTGGCTGATACATAATATATATATTAGGGGTGGAACGGTTCACAAAATCCACGGTTCGGTTCACGGTTTCGTGGTCACAGTTTTCGGTTCGGTATATGTTGATTGTTATACCGAAAAATAAAAATATTAATAAAAATTAATGAAATTAATGAAGAAAAAAAAAATTATGAATTGTAATTATTTTTAATGATCCGCGTAAACCCTGGATCATTTCCGTATGTTTTGCTGCTTTGAATTTAATCATCTGGCGCATGCTCTCTACGATCTCCAAGGAACTCAGAGCGGAGCGGACGGGAGCCACAGAGGGGGCTGTAGGCTTTGCTTTGTGCAGGCGGTCTGGAGCGCAGCGGTGCGCTGACAAACAAAACGTGTTGCACAATGCTTGCACACTGTTGCACTTTTATCCCCAGCTTTCTTTCCACCGTCATCGTAGGTCACTCTAAATGCAAAGTGGTCCCATACAGCAGACCTATAAAGTGCTGCTGGCGCGTCTTCCAACTCCTGTTCTTTCCCACTCGCCATACCCACACAATTCTCCACAACAACTGATTTTTTTCCTTGCTACACCCGGCTACGCTGCTTCGCTTCTTCTTCTTGTTTACTACTGGTGGTTGGCTTTGGTCGCAGTACCGCCACCTTCTACTCTGGAGTGTTATCGCTTCGCCTATGAGAAAAAGGAGCAGCGCATGAACCGAACGCAACACACGCGAACCGAACCGAGACAGTCGAACCGAACGGTAAATATATATATACATACACTCACCGGCCACTTTATTAGGTACACCTGTCCAACTGCTCCTTAACACTTAATTTCTAAGCAGCCATTCACATGGCGGCAACTCAGTGCATTTAGGCATGTAGACATGGTCAAGACAATCTCCTGCTGTTCAAAGCGAGCATCAGTATGGGGAAGAAAGGTGATTTGAGTGACTTTGAACGTGGCATGATTGTTGGTGCCAGAAGGGCTGGTCTGAGTATTTCAGATACTGCTGATCTACTGGGATTTTCACGCACAACCATCTCTAGGGTTTACAGAGAATGGTCCGAAAAAGAAAAAACATCCAGTGAGCGGCAGTTCTGTGGGCGGAAATGCCTTGTTGATGCCAGAGGTCAGAGGAGAATGGCCAGACTGGTTGGAGCTGATAGAAGGGCAACAGTGACTCAAATAACCACCCGTTACAACCAAGGTGGGCAGAAGAGCATCTCTGAACGCACAGTACGTCGAACTTTGAGGCAGATGGGCTACAGCAGCAGAAGACCACACCGGGTGCCACTCCTTTCAGCTAAGAACAGGAAACTGAGGCTACAATTTGCACAAGCTCATGGAAATTGGACAATAGAAGATTGGAAAAACGTTGCCTGGTCTGATGAGTCTGGATTTCTGCTGCGACATTCGGATGGTAGGGTCAGAATTTGGCGTCTACAACATGAAAGCATGGATCCATCCTGCCTTGTATCAACGGTTCAGGCTGGTGGTGGTGGTGTCATGGTGTGGGGAATATTTTCTTGGCACTCTTTGGGCCCCTTGGTACCAATTGAGCATCGTTGCAACGCCACAGCCTACCTGAGTATTGTTGCTGACCATGTCCATCCCTTTATGACCACAATGTACCCAACTTCTGATGGCTACTTTCAGCAGGATAATGCGCCATGTCATAAAGCTGGAATCACCTCAGACTGGTTTCTTGAACATGACAATGAGTTCACTGTACTCAAATGGCCTCCACAGTCACCAGATCTCAATCCAATAGAGCATCTTTGGGATGTGGTGGAACGGGAGATTCGCATCATGGATGTGCAGC